CTTAAAACATAAGTATCACTTAAAAAAATTCAAATCTCATATTGATTAAAAATAAATAAAAACTTTATAAGTAAGATAGTTTTCATTGATTTGCAAGTTAATTTTATAGAATTTAATTAGGTTTATGATCCGTATTTTAAAATAATACAAAAATTATTCTAAATTTCTTTTAAAAATAATTACTTACAATTTATACACATATTAAATATAATATTATAAATAAAAGACAAATTTTATCTTATATTTTTAATTTAATTTAATTGAGTAAAGTATGTAACTCTAGTTATAAGAGTTTGTTACCACATATTAAAAATATATAATAATACGTCAACTATATCACTTTCGACAAGAATATTTTTATTGAAGACTTTATAGCATGAAAAGCAAAGGAAGAATTAAGTAACCCCAGCTTGGGCAAACAATCGCAATTACTAAATGGATGAAAATGGGGTTGTGGTTTGTGGATGGAGTCGGTTGCCGCCATAGAATAAAAAAAATGCACGTATTTATCCAAGTGGATATTAAAATGTGGAAGGAAACAAATGTTATTACAAGATAGTCAAACAAATGGGAAGAAAAAAAAGCTAGTAGTGGCTAGAAGTGAGTAATAATAAATACCGACATTTTGTGTCTCTTATAATAATTCGTAATCATAAGATGATAAAAGTGGGGCTAAGGTATGAGAAAGTTATGGCCATAATAAGCCCTCATATTAATACACAGGCAAAGCTTAAATTGGTCACTTCCATATGTCTTACTCATCCCCTACTCACTAATATTAATACCACACGTGCATATATAGTAATATTTCCTCATGCTTCAAAACCATTTGAAAGGTTTGTTGTTGTGTTACATTGTCTTCCGTACGCATTTGTTACTTGTTATCACTTCATAACTTATCATCGAACCAAATAACATATTATCTTACATGTTGGCAAAGTCCACTAAATTATCAACAAAAGGCTAATAAAGAAACCAAAATCACAAGCACATAATAGTGTTAGAAACCAAAATCACATATAAAATAGAACGAAGAGAATATAATATTTTTTATAAAAAAATTATTGATGACTAATATTGATTGAGAGTTGATCATTTTTAATAGTATTTTTTTTATTTATGATACTTAAACTCAAAAGTTTACTTAAATCAACGATTTATTGGTATCTTTGTGCTTATTTAATTTCATTGACCATTTATTGATATTTTCGTGCTTATCTAATTTCATTTTCTCCGTTCATTTCAACTAGTTTGTCCACGAAAAAAGATAACCTAGAATAATAAGGTGAGCAGAAAAAAGACAGAATGAGAAGGGAAAAAATAATGGAGAGATAAAGCTTGGCCACATAATTTTGTATTAGCTAGCAATAAGTTTGTTTATAAACTGGGGTCCGTTTAGTTCTCATCGTACAAATAAATTGTTTTAATTATTTCCCCTCCTTTTATTCATTCTACCGTGTTCATTGCTAAAAGAATTATGGAAAGAACTACTAGCGTTAATTTAATGATGAAGGTATTTTTTAAGGAATAAAAAAAATTAATGATGAAAGAGTTAAAAATTGTTTTTTTTTTGGTAAAAAAAGTTGTAACATATAAAACAATTATAATCAGACAAGATCATTACAGCCGAAGCAAATCAATTTGGAACAAAAATGAAGAAAAATAAAACAACATAAAATCAAATTAATTAGTTTCGTTTATTTATTCGTGTAAAAACTCGTCAATTTAATTTGATTTAAACTAAACCAAATTAAACGAAACTAAACTTTCTATAGTTTTATACATGATTAGGTTTTCTTTAGTTTTTTAAGTGTTTCTATTTGTCAACGATCTTTTAATAAGATTTTATACAAAGTTACCGCAGCTTGAGCTATAAAAATCGTCGAAATTAAACATGGGTTCATGTAAGACAAAAACATTAATTAGACTAACAAAAACTGAATTGATAGTCATGTTCTTCAATTAGAAGAAAAAAACTAAAATCTGAATATAAAAAAATCGTTGAGTATTTCAATTTCGTATCTTAAATAACCGAAACAAAACAAATGTTTAACACCTCTACAAATAAATTTTGAAAACTTTTATGATAAAAAATACAAATAAATCAATGCTATAAAGGAATAAAAAAGTATCACATAAAATTTAAATAACGTGATTTAGTCTTTTGTATTTATGTTTATAAGAATGTTCATTATCTCAAAATATATTACATGTATATTCCTAAAAATCTTTCCTTCAAGTCTTGTAGATGAAACTTACAAATTATTTCTTGTAAATTTTATGGGTAAAACTTGAAAATTCTTCTCTCACAAGTTTTTTGTGAAACTTAGAAACTTTTTTTCATATGACCCTCTCTCTCATTTAAGGTGTTTAGGGTTTAGGATTTAATGTTTATGGTTTAAGATTTAGGATTTGTGTTGTGCATATGTTTAGTTATGGTGTTGTATACATGTTGAGTTGATATATCTTATTTTATACTTTTTATGTGTCATTATTTTAATTTAAGATTGAAGAAATATACTATTTATGTATTATTTGATGTAAAATTTTAATTTTTAACAATTAAAAATATTATTAACATAAAAATATTATTTTATTTATAATAATATTTTTTTAGAAAATTAATATTTTATTAACTTACTTTATAATAATATTTCAATAAATATAAGTTGACAAATATTACTTAAAAATAAAAGTTAAATGTGGCATTGGATATATTTGTCTATGTGTTGATTATTTTTTATTTTATTTTTTGAACAACTATGTGTTAATTACCTAATTGATGTAGGATTGGATTAATAGTTTGATGTGATTTTGAAATTTTGATATGCAGTTTTGTTAGAAATTTAGAAGGAAAGTTTTACCAGTTGTAATTATTTTTTTAAAAAAATATAATTAAATATACCAATTAGACACTCTAAAAACACTGGGGACAATGTAGGGCATGTATTAGATATAGTTAGGTAACGTCGTAACAGGGACACCAATTCAGAATTAAGAATTCACCAAACCATCTTTGAAGTTACAGACAATGTAGGCCATCAATTAGATTTAATGTCTCACGAATGATGATGCCACTTCCTAAATGTTTTTACTTTAATTATTGCTGTTACACCCGGAATGCATTTAGATTAACTTATGTATTTGACATTGTTTACAAAAAACATATTAATTTATATTTATAAATTAATTATCTTTCTTTATTAAAATTCAAACCTAAATTTTAAAAAATTAACATTTATTTTTCTAGAAAGGGTTCTCAAAGACAGCTTCAAGTGACCGACTAATATTTATTCTTTTTTGGTGGATTTAAATTAATATTCTGAATATATAAATTTAATTATATTTATCGCATAACGTTTTTTATTTTCTAAAACTATTTATTTTTTAGCTAATCTTATTCAAAGTATGGTTAAATATTAAATATATATGCTTTTTCAGTGTATATTTACAGAATGACGTGTATATATATTTTTTATATGGTATCGTGTGTTATGTATGTTTTTAAAAGTTTGACATGGTAATTTCATATACATTTTATAGCCTTTACTAAGTCTGATTCAACTTATGGGTAACATTCAATCAATTTGTTTAAAATATAAAAGGTGTTTCTAAAAAAAGTGTTTTTTTAATAAGTAATTATTTAAAAAAAAAATAGACAAGAGTTGCTTCTTTAGAAAGAGTAGAAAATTATTTTCTTAAAAGTGAAAACCTGTTTATTTTATATAAAAAAAATTCTTAGTAAAACGAATCGATAAATTATTTTTCACCTTTTCTTTTTCTCCCCAATAATGACCTCGAAAAAACCGAAATCGGGGCGTCGGGTATTTATCAGTATGATTTTTTAATTACTCTTAATACTAAAAATTTGCATTTTGTTAAAAAAAAAAGAAAAAATAGAGAAAAGAAACAAGACTTTATGAGATAGAGAAAAGAGTCTGAATAATGTATTATGATTAAGCTATTTATAAAATAAAATAATACATAACAGAAATATAGATAATGATTGATAATAAATATTGACATTTACACTAATTGAACTATTAATTATTATTCATAACACGTTTGACTTTTTACTTGTGATAATTTATATATTTATTAAATCTTAACATATCATTATAATTGGTTTTCTTTATTAAAGTTTTTAATAATAAATATATAATTAAATATTAAAATAAAAATTTCTAACAAATAGTTATAAAATTATGCAAATAAAATAATTAAACGAGTTATATATTATTTACAACATTTTCTACAATATTACCTTTTCCCTTTATTTCTTTCCATCATATTAATCATCTTATTCATTTTTTTTGCCTCCATCTATGTCTCTCTTTGTTGTAATAAAACTTGTATAAAAATATTGTCGAAATATAATTTCTCTAGTCAAATAAAGAAAACCTAGTTTTATGATAATGAATAAAAAATAAATAAAGAAAGTCTAGTTATCTATCCATTGAAGTTCTCAAACTTATTTTATTGAATGAATCAACTAATCAACGTATATAATAAATTATTTATATAACTAATCAATACCAATAATCAAGTAATTCCTTGACTAATTGTTACAATTAATATCCATAAACATAACAAGTAATAAATTGAAATTAAATTATTCTTATTTTTAAATTTTTTTAATTATTGTACAGGTACGAAATTCATTATCAGAAATAATAATTAATCTTTATTAGAGATTATAAATACATGTAAGATGAGTATTTTCCTTCCAACATAATTTATTAATATTAAGATTAATATTCAAACACTAAACAACATAATCAATTCAATATCTTAATGTACTAATATTAAAAAAATATTTTATTTTAGCTGACCTATCTTTTTTTTTTTTTTTTTGGATCAATTGACCTAACTTATTCTCATAATTTGAATAGCAATTAAATAAGTTATTAAAATTTGAACTCATTGAATTTTAAGAATTTTAAAAGAACCTTGAACGTCAAATACAAGGTCACATATATGATATAGTCATATACAAGGTAAGTTATATGATAATTTTCTTAACATTTTTTTTAGTAATAGTCTTCCATTTGAACGGAGTTCATCTCTTCCATTCTCCGGCAACCACACAACACTGTTTCATCACTGCTTATAACTCTCTGAACTCTGGTAAGTGGTAATCTCCTCTCACGCTTCCTTCCTTGTGTTAATGGATGTCAACGTCATATTCACTAATGTCGTATCTCATAATCTTTGTTATCTTCAGCTTCTAATCTCTTCTGTCACTTGCGTGTCTATGATATTTTACTCGTTATTTCAGTATTCAAGCCTACGGAACCTATCCTTATATGCGTGCATATCTAAATACTGGAATTCCAAGTATTCTTTAGCCATGTAATGATGTAAGGACTAAGGAGTTCCATTTTTTTTTAAAGAGTTTTGTGCTTATTAGTCTTCTTTGTTTCATAACTTTCTCCAAACACCTACTCTGTCTTGTATACTACATTGATTCATTAACTTTCTTTGATAAATGCCCTCATGATGAGGAATATATTGTTACTTTTTTTCTTTTTAATTTTTATACTTTTATAAACTTTTATGACAATATTGTTTAATTGCTTTCTCTTCTCAATTTTAATACCATGATCATACGTTGTGGTCTGCCCTTTTGCCCTTTTGGGCAATTTTTGTGGTCTGCAAAATTCAATGAAGAGCATAGTGTGTTTATTCACTGCGATTTAGAATTAAACATGTTACTTTATATACTGAATTAAACTCGTTAAATATTTGAAAAAAGAATTTTATCGTTTATAGTTTATAGCAATCCTATCGGCTCAATCAGGATTGTCTTTCGGACAGAAGCAAAAAAAATACTCAGAATATGATATTGAATTCTTGACAAATTTTTTTCTTCTCCTTCTTTTATAATAGCTAGAATATAACATATATTATCTATTCTTACCGAGTAATGACACATTTCTGTCCCAAGACAAAGAGTTTCAAGGGTGAATCTCTTGCTAAGAATTCATATATGCAAACCTTCTTGTCTTGTAGCTGTTGAGAATTTGGTGTCCATACAATTCTACAAGGAAATCTTCCTTGTGGTAATTATGCATGTCTGGCTCCGTGGCTATAGCTGATTATTCAAATGGAGGAGCACTTTCTTGTGCAGAGAGAACAAAATCTGTTGATGCCATTCCTGAATTAGACCATCCGTCTACATTGACAAACGGTGAAACTGATGGGTTTAGTGAAGGACAAGTCTTACTTTCCAATGGAGAGTTATATTCTGGGTCCCTTTATGGCAACGTTTCTGAGGGCCATGGGACATACGTGTGGTGTGATGGTTGTGTATACGAGGGTGAATGGAGGAGAGGGATGAGAAATGGGTATGGAAAAATAAGATGGCCTTCTGGAGCAGTGTATGAAGGTGAATTCTCTGGTGGATATATCCATGGTACGGGAACGTATATTCGTTCTGATAAATTGACTTATAAAGGTAGATGGCGGTTGAATCTTAAACATGGTTTGGGTTACCAAGTTTATCCTAATGGAGATACCTTTGAAGGGTCTTGGATGCAAGGAACACCAGAGGGGCCTGGCAAGTATACTTGGACCAATGGAAATGTGTATTTGGGGAATATGAAAGGTGGCACAATGTCAGGAAAAGGAACTCTCACTTGGATAAATGGGGACTCATATGAAGGAAACTGGTTAAATGGCGTGATGCATGGGTTTGGAGTGTATACTTGGAGTGATGGAGGATGCTATGTTGGGACTTGGACATTTGGTCTAAAAGATGGCAAAGGAACCTTTTATCCAAGGGGTAGTAATCTTCCATCAGTCCAAGAAATTTACCTCAATGCCTTGAGGAAAAGAGGGTTATTGCCGGATTTGAGAAAACAAAACCAGGTGAGAGATGTCAAGGTCTCAGAAAGAAATGTTTCATCTGATAGAAGAAATGTTTCTCTTGAAAGGCGTTGGAGTCTTGAGGTGTCTATTGAGAAAGTGATTGGATATGATTCGGCAGAATCTGTGCAAGAAAGTAGAGACAAAGAGGTTGATGCAACGATCCCAATTTTGGAACGGGAGTACATGCAAGGTGTATTGATGAGTGAGGTTGTGTTAAATAATATGTTTTCATCTATGTCTAGAAGGGCACGACGACTTCAAAAAAAGCTTGCCAAAGATATTAAAAGACCTGGGGAAGCAATCATTAAAGGTCACAGGAGTTATGATCTAATGCTCAATTTGCAGCTTGGAATAAGGTTAGCACACTCAAGTTGCTTTAGTTGTTATAATTTGTTACAATGCTGTACATTTTTTCTCTGCAAGTATCTACATGCTTTTATATTTATTCTATTGCACGTGACATATGCTAAAGTTTCAAGATGAATACATATTGAAAGGTGATAACCAAGTCATAAAACCACAATGTTTTGTTGATGGTTCTATTCATTAATCATATTAAAGGTCACGTTCCTTTTCCCTTACTGGAAATTTCTTTTGTTCTACCTACGGACCAACAGTAGAGAATAGAAATCTGGGGTGTGCGGCTCCAATAACGATATGAAAATCACAAGATGCTTCAGTTTCATTCAACAAATGTTTTTTGCTTGTATTGATAAGCTTTTATAGTGGAACTCAGAAAGCTTATCCTGTTTTCTTACCCCAATTTTGAGATTAGGGTGTCCTGAGGCCAAAACTATGAATTGAAGGCACAAAATCCATATAAATTGAAGTTAAATGCTATCCAAGAGTATCCTGATTTGCTTTTGCATGGATTTTCTTAATAATATGAACGTTATTTGTTAGACTCGAGAATTACGCACACAAACTAAGTAGTTTCATTTATATATATTCTGGACTAAACCAGAAAAATAAAATTACAACAGATAACAGACAGCAAAAGAAGAACACAGGACTAAGTCCCTTACTGACATGCCATATACATAAGATACACAGATAATTATCGAACAGTTACTAAACACATAACTGCACTATGGTTACTGAATGCATGCATAACTGCCGTGCTGTTCACATAACTATCCTATCATTCTTCAATATGGTTGCTTTTGCATGGATTTCCTTAATAATGTAAATGTTGTTCAATTTGGTTAGGTATACTGTGGGCAAGATAACACCTATACCAACCCGAGAAATTAGAGCATCAGATTTTGGTCCCAAAGCAAGCTTTTGGATGGATTTTCCTAAAGAAGGTTCTCAATTAACACCTACTCATCAATCAGAGGATTTTAAATGGAAAGATTATTGCCCCATGGTTTTCAGGTCAGTAGTTAACTCTCATTTTGGATGATTTGTTTCTTTCACTTGGATCTTGTAGGCTTGTATCATTCTAATTGACTAGGTGTGCGTGTGAATATGTCATTTATGCAAGATCTTAAGTTCAAGTCTTGCATATGAAAAAAACTTCACTAATAGAGATAGCCTTATTAACTCTATCATATAGTTTATGTTACTTACTTGAACATAATTGTCTCCTTCGGAAGATACCTGTGCTTCTTGACAAAAAGAAAAAAAAAAATGATTCCAGTATTTTTTAAGTAGCTATTGCTCTGGAAATTAAGTAGTGTTATTGTTTTATTGTATGTCTGGACAATTATATGTATCTAAACATTGATTGCCATAGTACCTGCTTCAATAATCACTGACCATGATGCATTCTTATTCTTCACAAATATGAAGGAAAAGAACATGGAAAGGAAACTCAAAATTACTTGCAATAGTGGGTTTACCTTTCATGTTTCACAATAGTTTAGGTATATATGATCATGAACAACCTCACAACTGTTACAGCTCATCTTTCTCTTCTGTTTCTTCCTTTCACTTATCACTTTTCATAAGTTTGTTAGATATAACCTTCAAAAGACCTGTTTCAGAAATTTGAGAGAGTTGTTCAAGATTGATGCCGCTGACTACATGATGTCCATTTGTGGAAATGATACTTTGAGAGAACTGTCTTCTCCGGGGAAAAGTGGTTGTGTCTTCTTCCTGTCTCAGGATGATCGTTTCATGATCAAGACGCTGCGAAAATCTGAAGTCAAGGTGCGTTGAAATAAAAGTTTCAGTTAGTATTAGAACCGATAGAAGGTCGAAGGTTGCATTTAGCATTTTAGTAACATTTTCAAATGTTTCAGGAGGTCAATCTCTCATATTCTGACTGAACTCCATTGTGTACATCTAGTGCACTCATTGCAAATTGAAGCTAACTAACAAATTATTTGTAGAATTTCAGGATGTGATTTCACATAAATAAAGGAAAGAGTGAATTTATGTTAATTAAGTTCTCTCGGCTTAAAGATTTCCCCAGAAACAAGGAGTCCGAAATAATTGTGTCAGAGTTCGGATTTTGCAATAGAGCTTTTGTTAGTTGTTGAATAACATTTTTCAGAGGCAACTTTTAAAAGAAAAAGTTTTTAGATAATACTACGGAAGGAAATTGAGCTATTAGGCATTAATTATCTAATACTTACTGAAATAATGTGGTACAAATGTCTAATAATGATATCTTAGTATTCACCTGTTACTTTCAATTTGCTTTTCCATATTAACATGCAGGTTCTTCTAAGAATGCTTCCAGACTATCATCATCATGTGAAGTCATATGAAAATACACTTATCACAAAATTTTTTGGCCTGCACCGGATTGAACCTTCAAGTGGTCAAAAGGTAATGTATATATTGTCTGGCAGCATTTTTCAGAGCTTGAGTCATTTTGTGGCATGACATTTTCTTTAATACTTGCAATCAGAAATATTGAGTATGAAAATTATCATTAAGCAAATTTAAGGTATCTAATATTTAAGTATATCACAACTTGCATCTTTAATTTCATGCAGAAAAGACAAACAATATACATTTCCTCAAATAGGAGGCTGATATATTTGGATATAATTTTCTTCTTGCAGTTTTGCTTTGTTGTAATGGGAAATATGTTCTGCACGGAATTAAGGATCCATCGGAGATTTGATTTAAAAGGTTCGTCCCTTGGACGATCATCAGACAAGATAGAAATCGACGAGAATACCACACTCAAAGATTTGGATCTGAACTACTGCTTCTACTTGGAACCGTCTTGGCGGGAGTCTTTATTAAAGTATGTGGTAGAACAAATGAATCATCTTTTGCATTTGGGTTTCTTACATATGGTGAAAGTAATCCTCATGCACATATTTTTTTGGTTCATGCATATATGCTTCTTTCTAGACAATCATGTTCAAGACACCGATGGCACTAAATGTGAACATTTCGCTCATGAGATATTTAAACTTTAAGCCGTCACATTATAGAAAACAAGTCTCTTGTGTTAGACTCAAGCCTAGTTCATAATCCTGTATGCATCGAATATTAGTGTTAATTGGCATGATACATCTCAAGATTGCAGGCTGCTAAAATATAAGTAATATTTTCTACTGACAGCAAAATCTGAATATTTCCTCCTACTCATGCTTTTATGTAGGCAGATCGAAATAGACAGCAAATTTTTGGAAGCACAGCACATAATGGATTACAGCCTTCTTCTAGGTGTTCACTATCGAGCTCCCCAGCATCTGCGTCCTCTCATATCATACAGCCAAAGAAGAAGTGTGGATGGATTAGCAATGCTTGCAGAGGAAGGTGAATCTGTTGTTTCCTTTATTGACTTGCATTCTTGCTTTTTCTAGTGAAATTTATAAGCATGAACTGATCGATTAGAAACTTTGCGTTTGATAGACCCACTGGAGGATGAAGTATCCTATCCACAAGGCCTTGTTCTAGTTCCCCGAGGAGCAGATGATAACAGTGTTGTTGTTGGTTCACACATGAGAGGCAGCAGGTTGCGAGCTTCATCTGCTGGTGATGAGGAGGTGGATCTACTTCTACCTGGTACAGCAAGGTATGGCTTCTTGATGATTTTGGCTTTGGTCATTTCACCTTTTGAATGCTTAGGCACGCCAAGTCTTCATGGTCACAATGTTTACATTACATGTACTTGAAATTTTTAATTTATATAAAAAAAATTAATAACACTTAAGTACATGTTACATGTTACATGTTACGTAAAAATTAATGAAGAGCATCACGGTTTCAGACTATCTAATAATTTCTCAAAATCTCTAAGAGTCCTGATCATAGCATATGAGGGTTAAATCAATGGGATGTGCTTAATAAACTGCTTAAGTGTGAGATCATAAATTGGCTATTCATTTTCTTCAAATGGTCACATGTGTTACTGATATAAAGTATACTACCAGATTATTGCTACATGCTACATTGGAGCTATTCATATGAAAATCTCTAATAATTCTAGACATTTCATTCATGTTGTTAATGATTAAAATTGTTCCTTAATTTACACCACAATTGTGTTATCGCCACAATATTGATATTTTTTTTTCCTTTTCTTTCTTTCCAAATTGTTAAGCAGACTCCAAATCCAGCTAGGTGTGAACATGCCATCAAGGGCAGAACGGATTTCAGGAAAACGAGAAAAGCAGATGTTCCATGAGGTGTACGATGTGGTACTGTACCTGGGTATCATTGACATTTTGCAGGATTACAACATGACTAAGAAGATTGAACATGCTTATAAATCTCTTCAGTTTGATTCATTGTCTATCTCAGCTGTGGACCCTACGTTCTACTCCCGTCGCTTCCTGGAATTTATTCAGAAAGTGTTTCCGCCAAATACAATGTCAGTTAATTAAGATCTTACCAGTAAGTTTATTTAGAATGTGTGAATATTGCACATTTTATGCTTCGGAATTTTTATAGTAGTTGGCCACGTGTGGTAATTGGAAGTGAATAATGAGGTAAATAGATTTATCTCATGTAAAGTAAGTAAATATATAACATAAGAAATTTTTATCTTTATTACTGGCTTAAATAAAAATATATTTAATAATCTTAATAACGGTGGGTATAATCTTAATTCTTTTTTATCTTATATACTTGTTCACTTTAAAGAAAACAAATTCAAGTAAATTATCTAATATATATTTTGTAAATGTGTATATCATTTGATAGACTTGATTTAATTCCCCCGTTAACAAGAATATGATTTGATTTAATTAGGTTGATCAATTGAGGCAAACAGCTAGGTATAATTGTGACTACACCTATATTAGCTAGAGAGGTACCCCACAACTTAACAATTGTTCTTCTTCAGATTTATATCTTCCATCATCTATCATAGTAGAATATGGTCTCATCACTATCTTGAGGGCATCAATGTGCTTCTTGTTGAACTACATTTACAGCTTTTTGCCAACATTTCCGACTACTTGGGGTTAATTTGGACGCCTCCATTAATTGCTCTTGATATCATTACCTATTGAACAATAACTTAGGGGTTAAGTGAAATGCATGCTAATTAAACCAGTATTTCCTATTGCACTAATGGTCTCTTACCAATATGAATTTGTCCAACTACTATTAATTTGGCTGGGCAACTTATACGGTTGTCCAACAAGATTATTGGGTTTTGATTGAACTGGAATATTTCAAAATCCACCGCCTAACTCAAAGTTCCTTTACAACATTATTTGATCCTTGTAACTAAATTTAATGTAACACGTGTTTTTTAAGGTATAAATATGAAATATTTGGTTTTCATCTTTGTATTTATTAAAAAAATACTTGTTCAAAGTCTTGAGTTTTTGAATTGGTGATTGTACCCGTAATTTTTTTTTTAATAAGTGTTAGGAGTGAATAAATATATTCTCAAGAATAAGTATATGTTTTGAAGATAAAATACACGTGTATATATATATATATATATAAAGAAAATATTATCATTAGTTAAAGAAATATTAAAATGTATTCAAGACCTTTTATTATATCATAAGGATTAGATATTATTATTTGCTAGGTTTAAATAACAGAATAATAATTCTCGAGATGTTGAGATCTATTCAATCTAAGTATAATTTCTTTTCGACACATTGATTAGTATTCAGATGATGACTAAGATTCTTTTTCTTTTTAGTCTAAGGTGAAAGCTAAAACATTTTCGGTGAGAGATTCAAGACTTATCTAGTTCAATTTTACAATATTTGATACAAAATTCAAGTAATTCTTGATAATAATGCATCAATTAGGTCATTAAATAAAATATATTTTACATAAAATTATTGAGTTAGGCTCTATAAATCACCTTCTTAATGATGCTACATGTGACATTGATGACATGATACTTTTTAGTGAAATAACATTATACTAACATTTTTATTGACAAGTCACATTATGATATTAACAAAATAATAATATTTTGTTACAAAGTTTGGTTGATGGTAAGACTAAAAATAAAATATTTGAAACTAATAAAAATGAAAAATGACTTGCATAAATGAAAAAATATAACCTAAGGTAATTTTAATTACATAAATAAATAGAGGAGTGATTACATCTTACTCCTCTCGATTGAGTGGAAAAGATGCGAATAAGTTGTGGAATGAGATCCTCTAAAAAAAAAGTTGTGGAATGAGATGGAATAGGTTTTATTATAATATTAGGTCCCATTTGATTTCATTTTTTAAAAAATCTAAATAATGAAACATATTCTCTCTCTTTCATTTTTTTCCCTTTTATTAATGTAGACCGACGTAAAGCTTGTATAAAAAAAATCTGGACATAACCTTAAAATCTCGGGACAAATAGATGAGTTCACTCAATAATTTCATCCTTAAAAAACCTTAATATTTTTATTTTGTAACTTCCGATATGCTTATTATTTTTCTATTGTTTATAATAAGTGTACAAAATGAGATAATTTTTTAAAAAAGAATTATTAAAATTATTTTAAACTTTTTAAATAATAATAAAATAAAGAAACATACGTAAAAGTGTGTTTTTGGCCATGCGAATGGCGATCTCTTAGGCAAATAATTGGCCTTGTAATTGTTTAGTGTTGCATTAATAGCTGCCAGATCAATGATCCAGTATATAAATCACATGATGATTTCATGCTCTTATCTTCATTTTGATAAATATATAATGAAAATAATCTCATTTAGGTTGGACCCCATAATTGCGTACCAATATTGGGCAACATATACAGATATACCCATCACCGTCAAAATAAACACGCCCATTAAAACATCGCACATCGCTTAATAAATAAATAAATAAATAATTTTTTTGGTTTAAACACATCTCTGCACGTTAATTTATTTTAATAACGCATCCGTGTGAATGAGATAAACTTATTAAATCTACATAATAATAATAATAATAATATATTTAATTTTATGGACGATAATGTACCATTGATTTGAGAGGAAAAAAAAAAGTCCATTCAAAAAGTTTCTTTCTCTATTTGTCGAAGTGTTCATGAAACAAGTGAAAAAAAGTCTTATATTATTGTCTTTCTTTTGTGGTGGAACACGGTAGATTGAGGTTCTTATGCAAGAAAGTGTTATAGAGAAATTAACAATTGAAGCTTTAAAAAACATATTTAAAAAACAAATATAAAATTTTTTAAAAAAATTATTTTAAATTATAGAAACTAAAAAATTCAAGTAAAATTACAAATATTTTAACAATTAATTTTTTTAAGTGTACATGTCCATTTGCATTGTCGAGTGTTTCCTGGTTGTATCAAACAATGTATGTTATCCACGAGCTTCCATAATTGTATTTTTTTATTTATTTATAGACATAATTTACCCAATATTTATTATTAACACTTTTACATATAACTTCATTAATTTAACTGTATGCATCATAAGTGTTTTTTTTTTTTTTTGTTTTTTTACATTTTCAAATGTCAACTAATTAAAATTCATGTAAGTATAACTTTTAGGGTGTGTTTGGGAAGGATAGTTTTCTCACTTTTCAGTTGTTTTGATAGAAATTTAAAAAAAGTTATTTGTTAAAAAATGATTGTTTTGGGAAAATGCTGAAATTTATAAACAATTTATTTTTGAAAAAAATATGTTTTTTCCCTCCTTTTAAACTAATTTACTATTTTTTTTGTCGCATCCAAACAAAATTAAAGATTTCAAAATCCATTTTTTTTAGCAAACCTTGTCTAAACAAAAATTTATTATGATTATAACAATAATCAATTATACACGTAATTAATTATTTAAATAATTTAATTTTCACAACTCTTTCAAACATACCCTTAAAAATAATCATTACAAAAATCAACAAATTTACCAAATATATACTATATCTGTTTCTAATTATAATTAAAAATAATATAAGACAGATTATATCAAGATCAAGGAAAGTGATTAAAATAATTATTTTTAACTAAATTCATCATAAATTTAAATTTTATTCTAAAAATACTCTTTATTTTAAGTGATTGTTATATTTAATATTAGTTATAAATAAATAAATAAATAAATAATAGAATTAAGAATAAATTAAAGGTATAAAGAAATTCATCTTTAAATAACTTTAAAAATAAAAAATTTATGCTTATAATTATGACATTCGATATGTTGTTTTTAATTAGGATCAGAGCCGGTAACAATTATAATTAGATATATCATAAAAAAGAAAAAAATTACCTTGTAAATTTATATGCAAATCAAAAAGTTGTGTATATGAATTATAAACATATTTATTTCTTAAAAAATCCGTATAATGTTTTTAAAATAAGAAACAAAGTCTCTTAATAATCCATTGATTTTAAAGCCTATCTTGGTACTCCCAAAATGTAATCTGAGTTAAAACACTTGTCCATGAAAATAGGTGGTGAGGATAGAAAGTGTCTTCTGAGAGTTTAAAATATGCAATGAAAGGAATGGACCTCTTACCCAATGTCAACAATGCAAGTTTCGCCATGGGCCATTGGAATTGTTGGTGCCACTCCGTTTTGATAGCGACACTCCACCCATGTCACCATGGGGAATAAAAAATGCACACCTGAACAACACCCAAATCTCAATTCCCTACCTAAACTAAACTTATCACAATCTATGCCCTTCTACCATCCCCTCTTTCTATTCTCATTTTTATTAACACTCAATTATATCACTCTTAATTTTCTTTTTGGCCACTTCAAGACATCTTTAACCGATAATTAAATTCTTTTAAGTACACATAAAATTGTTGGTATGAGTCATTCAACACTTGTAACTTTTAATCAAAGGATAAAAGAAATGGTTAAATTCGATTTATTTAATTTGTGGGTGCTAACTCAACTCTTGGCCCAACTTGATTGTAATTCGTTTGCATTTGATCATTAGATTAAATATTTTAAATATAAAATAAAAAAAAAATAAAAAAAAACATAAAAAGAAAATTAATAATGATAAAAATTTAAAGAATTTTTTTTGTCTAAAAAATAGATGTAAAAATAATTAATTGAATAAATAAAATCAAAGATTTGGGGATTATTAAACTTTAGGTATTTTTAATATATAGTATAGTGGGGAAGTGTAAATTTTCCAAACCTAATATTCAGCTTGATTACTTCGATATTTTAAAGCTAATCTAACGTGTTAATCTCAATTTAATTCGAATTTTCTAGTTCAGGTGAGGTCAAGTTATTCACGAAATAAAAAATAAAAGATGGCAAAGATTTATGATTGTTCCCTCCCTACTAGTCACATGTTATAACATGTTTGTGTTCACGCATAATTATGAGTGTAAGAAATCCAAAATCACATTACATTAAAAGCAACAACAATTTGTTAGTTGGTGCAAAAACACACTATTACACCTAGATAAGTGTATGTGAATCTAAATTATATATATATAAATATATGGGGTTAGCAGATTTGACAGATGAGACAAACGTGCCCATTTTAAAAAGGAGAAAGAAAGAAGATAATGGTAGATGGCGGAATGCTAGGGCCAATGGATATGCTTATTTTCTTTGAATTTATTAAGCATTGGTGTCTATTGAAATAAGTTATTGTCACGCACTCATGAAATAAAAGGTGTTTACATAAGAATCTCAAGTTATTGTTGAGTATAAGAGAAATAATGTTAGTTGTTTGGTATGAATGAAATGGTGAGGTGAGGGTGAAAAATAAAAAGTGATGATTCAACTCATTTGTATTTGACTTGCTTATATTCATCGTAATCAATTATGAAATTACATAATTGATTGTGGGTTAACAAAAAGCATTTAATTGATTATGACTTAAGTTTAATCGATCATATATATATATAATGTGTTTATTTCTCATAAGTTGAGCTTCATTAAAGTAGAGTTATAATAGTAAATTTATTTTAATTTTAATTTCTTTCTTCTCATTTCATCTAAACCAAACAATTTTTAATATTATTTTCTTCTTCTATTTCTCTTAAATCAAACACATTTCATTATATTTTTTAATCTATTTCAATTCACATATTCCTCTTTATTCTATTTTTTATTAATTTCTTTTCTTTATGATTAAACACAGTATTATTGAGATTTGTAGAGTTACTTGGTCCAAGAAGTGAATTCTTTAAATTGTAGAAAAAATAGATTAAATTACTTATTGAGTCCCTTTATTTATTTAATATAATTTAAAATTTAGTTTCTTAATTTTAAAAATGATACATTTTTTCATTTAATTTAGATTAACGATATTACCTCCTACATGTGGTGACATGTATCATTTTATATTATAGCACATGTATAAAAAAAATTAACAACTTAAAGTTTGAATTGGATGAAATGAACAACATTATATCGTTTCTAAAATTATGAGATTAAATTAAACCTTTTAATAATAAGATATTAAATTAAACTAAATAAATAAATCAATCAAATAAGTAATTTAACCTAAAAAAATAAAAATAAATAATATATAATAGTGAGACCCGTTTAATTAAAAACCTCATAAAGTGAAAACATGAGTTAATGGAATGAAGATGGTCTAATCAATTATGGTGTTTTACGATAAATAAGTAACTGTATGTTTGGATTTTAGTGGAGAGAACTCAAAAAAGAAAAACTTTTCCCTTTTTCATTTGTGCATTAAAATTCAGAAAAGTACTTTTTGTAAAGGTTATTCAAACATAGCCCGATTAGTTTTGCTATTTTTTTTTCTTGTGTAATTAGTTCTGTTAGTTGGCCGCTAGTTCATCCTTTATCGTAAGAAATATTTTATATATACAATATTGTATAAGTTTTTTTATTTATTTATCAATTATAGAAAAATAGAAATAAAAGTGAAGAAATTGTAGTTTATGGTTTTATTTTTTTACTTATATCCTTTTTCTCGTAGATAACTTTGTTTGGAAGTGTGTTATTTTTTTTCAAAAATATTCTTAATTAATAGTTAAAAATTAATTCATTTCCAGATATAAGGATTATTGAGATGAGTTTTGTGTTTCTTTTTCCTAACAAAGTCTTTTCATACATATGGCTAAGAATTGAACTCGACAACAATAACAATGAAAATATTTATTTATCAATTACATTGAATTTTATTGGTTGATGTGTATCACGTTTCATGATTTTTTGA